TCTATTTTTTTTCGATTTAAAGCTTTCGTGACTGCAGGGATTCATCTTCTTGGTTCTTTCGGTAAAGTCACGTAGAAGGAAAATAATAAAAATAAAACATCATTAAATAATTCTCACGACGTTTCGGCCACAACGCAAGCAGCCGTCTTCAGGTCTGTCAAGTAGACAGAGTCTGAATGACTGTCTACTTGACAGACCTGTTCTGCACCTGAAGACGACTGCTTGCGTTGTGGAGAACAGGTCTGTCAAGTAGACAGAGTCATTCAGACTCTGTCGACTTGACAGACCTGAAGACGGCTGCTTGCGTTGTGGCCGAAACGTCGTGAGAATTATTTTATCATGTTTTATTTTTATTATTTTATTATTTTCCTTCTACGTGACTTTACCGAAAGAACCAAGAAGACAATTCTGTTTTGTCTCATTTTTACGTTGCCGTTTGCGCTTTGCTTGCATTTTCCTCGTCCCTTGCCTCTTTAAAATGTATCCACCCCATGAGCTCTGCCCGGCGTTGCTGGCTACGCTGCACAGCGAGGCTGGCTGCCTGTAACCCAGCACTGCGGAGGCTGCACAGAGGGTTGGGTGGATTGCCGCACAGACGCTCTGAATCTCCCTTCCCGCGGGCGTCGAGGGGCACCCTCTCGTGCCGTGGCTCACGAGGAGAGGGCAGTAGGGGATCGAGCGTTGCCCTCTCGCACGTGCGTGAGCTTTCTCTGGGCGCCGTCACGGGTGAACGCTCATTAGTTGGCACGCAACAACCTTCGTATGTAGGGCACTGCAGAGCTGGGGGGGAGGGTTGGGGTCGGGAAGGCGGTACGTTAATAAACTAAACTAGAATATTCCTGGTTCTTTCGGTAAAGTCACGTAGAAGGGAAATAATAAAATAATAAAAATAAAACATAATAAAAATATTATTTTATTATGTTTTAAAATAAAACATAATACAATTAAATTCGTATTTTTACAATAAAACATAATAAAATAAAATTATTATTTTATTATGTTTTATTTTTTATTATTTGATTATTTCCCTTCTACGTGACTTTACCGAAAGGACCAAGAATATGAATCCCTGCAAGTCACGTAAGCTTTCAATCGAAATTTAAACTAAAATATTTCATTTTACCAGGTATGGCTCACTGAGCTATGTAGCTCTATTTCAGAAACGACCTGGCCACAAATAATAGCGCAACGAAGTGGCTTATCACGTGGACATGTATAGCGGCCAAATACTCTAAACGCGTGCTGATTGTCAGTGTGGAGGGGAAAACCGGAGGACCCAGAGAAAAATTCACGCGACCACGGGGAGAGAGACACGCAGACTCCACATATACAGCAGCAGGCGTCAGGGTCGGGATCGAATCCACGACCTCCTGCCCGCCAGGTGAGTGTCTCATCAGGTCACCAATGCTGGTGACCTGCCAGATTTGTTTTTTATCGGCAAAGGACCCTCTCCGCTTAGGTGTGAGTCCGAGTTTGATGATGAGAAACCCCTACGAGACGTAGCTCAAGAGAATCTGGCAGATTCAATTTCCTTCTGCCGAGTATTGGGAGCATTGCGCTGTGCTATCCGCAGCCCATCCGTGCATTTTAGCTCGCACATATCCCGAGCAACCAAGAAAAACCCCGAACGCCATCAAGTAGGGACGCGATAATCTTCCATTACCCTTGATGCGCACGCACAAATATTCACGAACATAAAGCAGTGCGCTATTACCCAGAGACTCGTGCTTGAACTTCGAGCACAGCGTGTGCCCGACAGGACGGAAGGGAAGTTATTTAGAGTTTGCAATTAAAAAATAATAGAAACCACGTGCTCGGACATTTAAAAAAAAGTCTTAAAAAAATTAACTCTCGATAAGTTATTGCGCTAAAATATTCTAATAGCAAAAGCGTGTGTCTATTAATTATGCAAATATATCCACGGTGCGTTAAATAATACACTGACGGACTGACATTCTCCAATAACATTTCTATTCAAAGCGCTGAACAACAAAGGGAGATGAACCTTTCAAGGCGCATTGTTGCCACATTACTTAGCGGAGAATTACCGGCTTGTGGAATCTATCGATATTTTGTATGAAATGCAAGAGAGAAGCACTGAAAGTAATGATCTATTTTTCAAAGGAGAGACCCGAGAAACGGCAGCTACAAATCAGTGCTCTTTGTTTTTTTCGGTAAAGTCACGTAGGTTCCACCTGAAGACGGAGGCTTGTGTTGCCTCCGAAACGTGATTTAATGTATTTAAATTTTATACCTACATGACTTTACCGAAAAAAACAAAGAGTATGAATCCTTGCAGTCACGAAAACTTCAAATCTACAAATCAGCGGTTGTCTTCTTTTTGTTTGAACCCCCCCCCCCCCCCAATTGCACAACAGTCGCAACCTTGCCCGAGCCATGCCACGCGATGAAGAAAAATACCCTTCCCAGAATGCCCACTGTCACCAAAGCATCGCGTGTCACAAAATGCCCCCAGAAGAAGATTCCGCAGAGCTAGTTCTGGTGACGTGGTCCAACTTGTTGCAAAAGATTTGAAGCTTTCGTGACTACAAGGATTCATACTCTTAGTTCTTTCGGTAAAGTCACGTAGGTAAGAAAATGAAATTAAAATGAATAGAAATAAAATAATAAAATGACGACGTTTCGGAGGCAACACAAGTCTCCGTCATCAGGTGGGACCGTCACAGCCAGATTTGTATGTTCTCCACCTGTTCTGGATGGGTTCCCTCCAGGTTCTAAAATCTGTTCCTGTAGCGCAAAACACCACGAACAATGTGACTGCTTTTGGTCAAACAGCCCAATCCTGAAACAAATATGCAGCGATTGGCGGTGTAAGTGGTGAGTGCACTTCACTGCAAAACACAGCAACCACGAATCCGATTCAGTGGCGATTATCTGAACCGGTCCTGGGCCTTCCCTAGGTCGACTCAGCCTTAAATGAGTACCTGGTATGGTGTGTAAAAAAAACATCGCCACTTCCTGGCAAGACTATGGGGGGGGGGGGTGTTAGGATGAGAGATGTTCGTCTTGTCATTTCGTTTGCAGATCTCAGGAGCCTTACATGCTAATGATAATTTTATTCAAACAAACCTCGCCGTATGAAAGGCCATGTCTGCAGGCTTTGTGGGCCCTATTTTTACCGGCACTCCCTCAGAGGGGCTGTCTCTGTTCGACTGCCCTTGTTCCACTACGCGTTACATTCGAGCCGTGTTCTGTCTAGCGCAGCGGTCGGGAACCTTTTTGACTGGGAGAGCCATAAAAGCCAAATATTTCTAAATATATTTCATTGACAGCCATATGGTATTTTTAACGTATAATAAATTAAATATGTCTTACTTTTAATGCGACTTCTGGTCACGGGACCCGTGACCCGAGAAATTTTATCTTCAAAACTAATTTCTGTTTACTTTAAAATGACACAGTAGTATTAAGCAATATCACAAGTATTTTATTTTTATTTTATTATTATTATTTTTTTCAACTCAAAATTGTCTGGGAGCCATATGCCGTCACCGGACGAGCCATATATGGCTCGCGAGCCATAGGTTCCCGACCGCTGGTCTAGCGGGAGCAGGGATGGTGGAGGTATGTGTGTGTGTGGGGGGGAGGGGTAATGCTTTATTCCCCTCACTGCTAATGCTGCAGGAAAATGGCAATCTCGGCCACGGCTCTTTTCAGATTGTGTTTTTGCCCCACTTATTTCGAATGAGAAAAGCACAAAAGGTTCCAACGCCGGCGTTCTGCAGCCCATTTGTGACTTGTGTTGTAAGCTGTCCTCTCTTCGGCGCCGTACTCGCACTGCGTGCGTGCGCATTCACCCGCTTTCACGGCCATCGCCAGTGACGATTATCTGAACCGGCCCTGGGCCTCCCCTCGGTCGACTCAGCCTCAAATGAACACCCCGGTGCCATGTGTAAACATCGCAACTGGGGAGACAAAGGTGGTTCTGGCCACCCACCCACCCCCTCCTGTGCCGTGCCGGCCTTCATAGGTGCTCGCTAACAGCACTTGCCACAACAGTCTCAGAATCAGAATGTGCATTTCTACTGGAGGAATCCGATGAGCCAAGAAGCCCTTTATCACAGATGTCCAGTCAGGCTGTATGGATGATCATTGTCTTTGTTTCTGTTGTACATCCTGCGTGCGGGCTTTTGTGCTGGTTTATTGTTCGCGGGATAGTTTAGTAAATACAGAAGTTGCTCCTCGATTGACCCGGCAACAGCTCTGCTCAGCCTTCGGACCCTTCTTTTGGAATACCTCCGCAGTAGAGTCGTTTGTTTTGCCTTTTTTTACGAGTATCTTGCACGTGGCGTTACAAAGAGAAAAAAAACTCCAGAGAAAAATCAACAAACGTGAGGCGGTAATGCTCGTGACACCGCCGGCACAGAGGGGGTTGACGGCCCAATGAGTGCACTGCGATGCAGTGACGAGTCAAAGCCGCTGCGAGGATGACCGAAGTTTGCGTGATGGCTTGCACCCCTCGATTGCGAGTAGGCACATCAGCAATCATCCCCCCCGACTGCCAGACGAATGCCGACTCGCATGCCAGGTGCCCAAGTCGCCTTGCGCCGCACCGAGACAGCTGCTGCTGCTGCTGCTGCCACTCGGGATGCCGCTTTTCAAATGTGCTGACATGAGATGTGACGATTGCGAGCACCCCGCTGACCTCGTCGAGGAGGGCAGATCACCGTCACGCCAACTCCGCTCACCCTCGCAGCGGCGGCAGCGGCTGCGAGGGTCACCGCATCGCGCGGCGCTCTCAGATGCCGTCTGGAACGTTCTTCCTTCTCATACGAGGAAGCCGTTGGGAGCTGTGCACTTTTAAATCATCGTCTAGATCGATGACTCATTCATTCGGAGCTTATTTTTGCGTTTAGTTTGTTGTCCTGCCCCCCCCCCGCACCTCCGTTTAGCACGGCTGACGATGTACGGCGCGAAAGAAGTTCAACACACATACGGCGTTCCTAAACCGACGCTCACCACGGCCGCTATTCACTCACCCAGGTACTCGGGCGTGCCGCAGGGCTCCTTGATGAGGCCGTCCTCCGCGCGTGCCAGGTGGAAGTCGCTGATGACGATCTTGGAGTGCTTCAGGCGGTTGTAGTAGACGATGTTCTCGAGCTGCGTGAGACGACGACATCATCGGGGCGACACGAACGGGGCAACCTCGGCGCGGCACGGAGGTCGCGACGAACAGAGTCCATTGGGCACGAAACTCTCTAGCCCAGTGGCCAGCTTCAGTCGGACGCGTTTCTCGCTCGGCGCACGGTCTCGCTGTCAAAACACTGCACGGGATATTGCGGTGGTGATGATGATGATGAGAGCTTGAACTTGTCAAGCGGATCCAGCCCACGGCGGGGGCTAGGAGATGTTAACTACCTCGTCTGGTGTACAGGAGGTCGTGGGTTCGATCCCGACCCTGACGCCTGCCGTATATTTGGAGTGAAGAGCGATGCAAAGCGCTCCGTGCAGCGGGGAAAACGCAACTCACTCACACGACGGCGACATCGGCGACATCGCGAGCCGGTCCACAGCCGGACGGGTGACTGTTCAGCGGCGCGCCGGTGCCGGATCTCATTCAAAAAAATCTACTGCCACCCCAAGGCAGACGCCAATTCCCCCGATTGCACCGTGTGTGCGCTGAACTTCTTTCGCGCCGTACGTAGCCAACCGCGTGAATTCGGGAGGTGACGGCGGCGCTGGTCCCGCCACCCTGGCCGCAGGGCGGACACGCACCTTGAGGTTGCGATGGACGATGCCCAGCGAGTGCAGGTAGGCCACGGCCTCCAGCACCTGCTTGATGACCAGGCTGGCGTCCTTCTCCGAGTAGTAGCCCTGGTCCAGGATCCAGTCGAACACCTCCCGGCCTGTCGCCCTGCAACCCAAACGCACGCCCGGCCCGCACACATCACCACCACCGCCGCCACCACCCAGAGGGCACACGGTGAGGGTGAGCGACGACCTCTGGGACGACGTCTCTCGGAGTCTGCACTTGCGATTGACCTTTCACCGTTGAATGAGCCGGTCAATTGCCAACAGGTTGCTGTGTGAGCCGTTCGTCAAAGGCCAGCTTGACCACTGTAACTCGCGCCTCTATAAAAGACAAAGGCGCAGCCTGCAACTGCTCACTCGTGCCACTGCTGGTGGAATGGGCCTCGACTGGAGGGAGCCCTAGACAGCCCCCCTCGCGAGCGTATTTGGCCTACTCTTCCATGCGAGTCGGACAACTTCAAAGGGGTGGGAGTACCCACACTTTACCCTACCACACGCGGTCTTCACAACATGGCACTCTTCCCCAGGTGGACATCTGCTTTCCTTTCGTCCACATGCATTCATCCGTTTGTTATTTGTCCACCTTACGTGACCCCCCAACTCCTGTGCGAACCACAACCTTCGCCGTGAGACGCTTGGCAAAAGTGAAACTCTCCATTGCACTGAATTGTAAAAATGGCAATGGTGTAGTCGGTGGGCAACTAGGTGGGGGGGGGGGGGGGGGCGAGGGGGGGTGGGGGCTTTTTGCCGGCGGCATTACCGCGTTAAAGACACAAAGCCACAATGCCGCTGAGATTCTGGATGGGAATTCAAAGGCATTGTGATCACTCGGAAACGAATGGGCTTCCCGTGCACAGCGCACGTTCCCGTCACAGATTGACTTTAAATCCCGGCCGGGTTTCATCCGCCAAATGCCTTCCTTGGCGCGCGGCCCGTTCAGGACACAAAGCGCGCTTGCGACCCCCGCTTGGATTGGAGGTTTGGGGTCAGCGTCTCCCTGCGAGGCGTCCACCGGCGCGCGGTGCGATGAGAGCTGCCAGGCGAGTGGGAAGCGGAGCAAACAGGCGCTCAAACCTCCACGGGTTGCGATTTCAACGTCGTCCTTCCCAGCCGGTGGGTTTCCGTCGTTCGCTCGAATTTCCAACAGGCGCTGTTAAGCTAAAAAAAAATTAACCCGTAAAAACAAAGTTTTTCACTCTAAATCCTTTATATGCGTGCCATCGGTTTTATTTTATTATTCATTTCTGTTTTTCTTGAGTAAGAGTTTCATTTTTATCACATTGGTATTTTAAATTAAATATGAAATGTTTTTTTTCCTAAAAAGTGGAAAATTTTGGAAAAAATGTTCACGACAATAAATTGTCACGCACAACGAGTCTGTGTGCAACATGTCAGCTCGATTGGATCACGGGAAGTGGGTTAAAAAAGGACCGAAAGATTTCCACGGTCGTAAGCGCGCAAGCAAGCAAGCAAGTGAACTTAATATAAAGGATTTAAAAACGACCCAACCGTTGCGAGCAGGACCCTCCTGACGAGCCTCGTGAAAAGTGTCGCCCCCCCCCCCCGCCCCCCCCAGCTAAAATGAGCACGGGAAGAAGGCACCGATTCTCGGCTTACGGCCCCCCTAAGCCAACGGAGGTGACTCACCATTGACGCAGCAGGGGGAAACCGCCGAGGTTCAGGACGCTGTGTTTATTGGGCGCGTTGCTGCATCCTCGGGCGGGTGTTTAAACACGGGCATTCGTATTTCACGCAGAAAACACCATCGCCCACAAAAAACTACGACAATTGGTGGCTTACAATGGTTCGAACACATTTCAAGAGCAGACTTTTTTTGCGGAGGGGGCAATGAAGGCTGTTTACATTTAATTGCACCCTTTAAAAATGTTAGTGGTAGAAAATAAATTAATAGACAAACAACAATTTCCGTCTGTTATATACTTTGAACCACACTTCTTGACATTATGTGGGTGTCACACCTGGTGTGCCATGTAATTGCATTGCTATTTTTTGCCAGTGCAACCCATGCAATTAACTTTCACCGGCAAATCAGAAGCAAGATGTCCTCATAATTACAAAGCAAGCTAAAACATACCCAATTAAGGTTCTACATTTAAAAAGAATTGGGGGGGGAAATACGCGTTAGGTGGCTTCGGGTGGCTCGGGGCACGGACGATGGCTCTCCCGTCAGTCACGGAGCCATCGCCGATGGGGGAGCGTGGGTTCTGAATCTGGATTTGTGCCACCCACGATTAAACCCAGTTTGCCCAAGTCAGTTGACTGCCTCATCCCCGTGCTCAGGAACCCATGGAACTGCACTTTGATAGCAGCCTTTCAGGCGGGTGGTGGAAATTGTGCATTCCTATGGTAGAACTCAGTCTGTGAAGCGCTCTGTGACAATTTGATCGTGAAGGGTGCTACAAGAGATGACGTTCGATCGATGAATACGCATATAGAAGTCGCCGCCGACTTACAACAAAGCAGCACCTCATTTAACGGGGATGATTGGCTCGGTGGACCACAACCAGGATTTAAACCCGCAACCTTCAGAACGTTGGAAAAAAAATTCCCCCACAGAACAACGGGGAGGAGAGAGGAGGGAGGGGGAGGATGATTGAGCTGGGAGGCACAGCCGTGGCTCAGAACGGCATTAAACGACTCAGCGACAAAAGTCCACCTTGTCCGTCGTGATCACCAATATCGCGGGCCGTGTAATACTCGGGGCTATCCGTAGATTCACTCACGTCTCGGGGAAAAAAGAGGCAACGGGTCGGGAAATCAAAAGTCGAGCAGCGCGTGTACGTATACAGCGCGGTAGGGGTTCGTGCGCTGCGCTACGAACCCGGTGACCCGCATTCAATTCACGGCCAACGCCAGGAATAATTATCTGAGCCGGTGCTGGGCTTGCCCTAGGTCGACTCAGCCTCAAATGAGTACCTGGTGCGGTGTGTAAAAGCATCGCCAACTGGGGAGGCAAAGGCGGTCGGGCGTGGTGTTGGCCATCCATCCCGTCGTGTGCCGTGTTGGCCTTCATTGGTGCTACTTACTAACAGCACTTGCCCCAACAGTTTGTTAAAGGCTATACGGAAGGTACGTTCCCTTTGTCTATATGAGCGGTTGTCAAGAGCATGGTCCCTGGAACCACGAGTTGTCCATGATACTCCTCCAGATGGTTTGTCGGGCGGTGATCCAAATGCAGGGTTTATCCGCAAATAATGACTAACGCTCATACCTTTTTGTTTCGAACATTAATTCATATTTTACTCATTTAATTATAAAATGACGTTAGGTCAATTACCCCGATTAAACGACTCTAACCCTACAATCTAAAAGCCTTTATAGCTGCGTCAAAAAAAGGGAGAAAAGAATCTGTTGCGGAAAATATGAATGAATCATTTTGTACGAGTGGGTATTTTTAGCCGGAGATGAGCGAATGTGTGTTTGTCGCCAGGGAAGGGGAGGGGGACACTGGGTGATCCACGTAAAATGTTTACATCGGCAGAGTGGCCTGCGGGCCTAAGAAGAGTTTGACAAACACTGCTCTGTATGAATTGCTTATTTGCCCCTCCCGTGATGTGCAGCATGCCACCGACTGTTTTGTACAGTCTTGGGATGTGCTTGAGGGTGTACACTATAAACACACCGTGCTGTTGTTGTTTTTGTTGTTGCTGTTGTGTTCACATGACAGAGTTGTTTTGGGTTAGATTGCGTACGTATATAAATGTGTCGTTAAAACCCGCCACCACCCGACACAGCCAACTAGTAAGGGTTGTCACGTAAACAGAACGTGGCCAATTCGTCACTAGTACAGCACTAACCGGTGTGTTGGAGTGCCAAGCCACCACATTTACAATCTGAGTACGACGTTTCGCCAGTAATTACAACCAGCTTCATCAGGTGACAGCCAGATTTGTGTTCACACTTACGTTTCTTCACAGTGAGCGGGATTGGAGAGCCGGCTACATTTTGCGTCGATCTTCCGCACAATTGCAGCAAAGTGGAACATTTTAACATGGAGGAGGAGGATGCTTTCGCGACCAATATCACATCCATAATACAAGGTATTTTTTTTGGGGGGTTACATCACGTAAATATATAAATGTTGTGCCGTTAAACCAACCACCACCCGACACAGCCAATTAGTAAGGTTTGTCAAGTAAACAGAACGTGCCAATTCGTTACTAGTACAGCACCATCGGTGTGTTGGAGAGCAAATACACAACATTTACAATCTGAGAGCATAGCAAACCTTACTAATTGGCTATGGCGGGTTTAACGACACGTATATTTACGCGATCTAACCCAAAAAAAAAACCTATATTATAAAGGGAAACACCCCGAAACACCGACAGATAACATCGCGTTCCTGGATATTAAACACTTTTTTTGAGAAGTAAATATATTGATGTGTCTCTTTTTATCTCTCTCCCCCTCTTAAACACAATGTTCCGTAGCTTCGACAGTTAAAAAAAAAAACTCTTCATGAAACAAGTCCACGAAGTCCAAACTCAATGTGCGCGATGGAGTCAGTAAGAGTTGTGAGCAGGTCGGTGGTTCGTCGTTCATTGTGAAAATTCGGTCACAGTTCCTATGAGCACTGTTTCGTTGCTTTTATGGCTTTATTTTGGTGATTTTCGAAAAGTTTTTTGGTTTGGCCATGTTTGTTTGTTGTAGTACAGAGTTAGACTGATGGCCTTAATCTAAGTTGTCTTGTGGTTGTTGTTGTTTGATTTGCATCTCACTGGGATATTTGCACAGCGTTGGTGTACGGTGCTTTTTCTGCAATATTTTGCTGTCTTTTCTTGGATTTTCTGTTTGCACTCAGTCACATAGTCACTTTAAGATGTTTTCTTGTTCATGTTTTTGTTTTTTGTTTGTTGCGGTTGCACCCGATTCAAGAGCCGAATGGTTCACAGGGCTATACCTAATAAATTAACTTTGAACTTAAAAAAAAAATCCAAGCGCCACCCATCAAGCATAAATGAGAGCGTCACCAGAATTCTGTCTGCAACACATCTCTCTCTCTGCGTCATCCTCCCTCGCCCTGCTCCACTTGGGAATTCCCTCCCATCGTCTCTTTTACCCCAAGCTCTCATGATAATAATGACGACGACGACGATGATAACTGAGCAATTCAAGAAACGCGTTAACTTTCATCTGTTAAATACTTTGAACGTGCTGTTTGTTGCCGGCCACTTGGCATTTCGGGCCTTTAGGCCTGTGCTCAGCCACTGTGATTTTTTTTAAGTGCCCCTTAAGTTGATTTGACAATAACATGTGTACCTGGTGCAGTGTGTGAACATTGGCATTCGGCGGAAGGCCAAGGTGGCCGGGCATGGCCCTATCCATAACATCTGAAGTGCGCCACGCCGACACTTGCAACCTGTGGCCTGGAAAGGCTTAGCCTTAGGGATGCTGTCCGCGCTTATCGTTGTCAGCGCGTACGCACAGATACCGCCCATGGCAATGAGAGATCGCTAAACATCCCCAGGGTTGCGACTGCAAACATCTGGAGCCCGTCCTGTTGCTTTCACGGCTCCTACCCACGATGTGAACTACCTTTCTCGCCGGAAAAGGGGGACCGCAATGACCATCAAAAGTTTTTAAAAATTACTTTAAATATTAACCTATTCAGCCCGGCATTCACAGATGAAAACTAAATGAACCCTTTCCCATTCCGATGACGTAAAGTAACTTCATGTCGGAAGACGTATCGAGGCTTCCACAAGGCCATGCGGGAGGGCGTGGCACAATTTGGCACCAGCTATCATAGAGAGCGGTCGTGTCGCTACTACGCCTCTCTAAAAAACATTAACGCTAACCGCTTGCATGTTCAGAGATTCAGCGGTGTACGAGACACCCACCCTGCAACTTGCAGACGTATCTGAGCAGGAAAGCGGTTAATGTCACAAAATGTACGGCTGCAGATTGACGTAATTATTTTAATGGCACAGTTTTTCCCCCCCCCCCGGTTTAAACGGAGGATAATACATTATGCACAACGAGAGGCCTTGCTTTTAAGGACGATGGCGCATTTGATGAACTCAAAGTTTGAGTGTCTGCTTGTAATCGACGGGCGAGCGAGGTGGTGCCGGGTGACGGACTCACAGTTCCAGAAACACGTAGTGCTCCTTGCGAGTCTCAAAAGCCTCGACCATCTGCAGGATGTTGGTGTGCTTGACCCTGGAACGCAACGGGGCACGGGACGCGTCGCACACATGTTATTGCTGCTGCCGCTGATTATTATTATATTGATGATGATAATGATGATGCTGCTGCAGCTGTCGATGATGGTGATGATTATCAAGATGATGAAGTCGGTGCTGATACTCTTAATAACGATGATGATCCTGCTGCTGCTGATGATGATGATTATAACTGATGATGGTTCTGCTGTACGTATGATTAACGTCTTTCGCACTGTACGTAGCCAACGATGCTAATTGTGGTGCTGTTATATATGATGACGTTGGTGACGCTTCTGCTGTTGATGATGAAGATGCTGCTGCTCATCATGATGATGATAGTCTCCGCTGTTGACTATGAAGCCCCTTTTGCTGATGATGATGATAATGGCAATGATGATTATACTTTTGCTCTCGATTATGAAGCTGCTGATGATGCTTCTGCGATCGATGATGACGATGACGCTTCTGCTGTTGATGATGAAGATGCTGCTGCTCATCATGATGATGATAGCTTCCGCTGTTGACTATGAAGCCCCTTTTGCTGCTGCTGATGATGATGATGGCAATGATGATGATGCTCTTGCTCTCGATTATGAAGCTGCTGCTGATGATGCTTCTGCGATCGATGATGACGATGACGCTGTTGAGGCTCAAGCCGCTGCTGCTTTTGATACTGACAATTGTTATTGTGATTTCACAATCGATTATCATTCTCATTATTACAACAATGAAATATTAACGACAGAAAAGCCTTCTAGATTTGAAGCTTTCGTGACTTCAAGGATTCATACTCTTAGGGTTTTTTCGGTAAAGTCACGTAGGTAAAAAATAAATAATAAAATAAAATAATAGAAATAGTAATAATAATTTTATTTCTATTTATATTATTTTATTTTGATTATTTACCGAAAAAAAACCCAAGAGTAGAAAAGCCTTCACTGAAGCCGGCGCGCGGCGTCTTCAACACTCACATCTTGAGGATTGTGATCTCGTTGTTGGCGATCTTGCGAACTCTGCGTCCGTCCTTCTTTATGAACTTCTTGCAGGCGTAGACCTTTCCCGTCGACTTGTCCTTCGCCCGGTAGATCTCGCAGTATTCCTCTCTGCGGTAAACGGGCCGGCGGAACACAGCGAGTCGTCGCAACTACAACCCGCGTCCGACAAGCTTACAATCCCCGACTGCACAGTACAGGATGAACCGCAAAGCGAAATCGGCTGCGAGGGATATGGTGAAACGTCTAAGTCTACACCGTATGTATATGTGGTTGTATATATGGATCAGAGTATGAGAGCTCGGGGCAAGCATCTGATGGTGCATTGTCCTTGAGTTGTGCGCCTTTTGGCGTCATCTGGTCCAACCCATATGAGACTAGGCTCGAAGGAAAGCTGTCTCGGGTGTGGACCAATCAACTTCAAGGACAGTGCACATTATCAGAGTTATGTTCTTTTGTTTGTATTATGACTGCAGGTATTGCGGTCTATGCAAACATGACTCCTTGCAAAAAGGTGTCAGTTTTGTTGCCAGATAGAAGGGTAAAGAACCAATTATCATATTTTTACTGGCAAATGAGGTCCCCATAGTGTAGATGCTTGCCCCGAGCTCTCATACTCTGATGGTGCATTGTCCTTGAGTTGTGCGCCTTTTGGCGTCATCTGGTCCAACCCATACGAGACTAGGCTCGAAGGAAAGCTGTCTCGGGTGTGGACCAATCAACTTCAAGGACAGTGCACATTATCAGAGTTATGTTCTTTTGTTTGTATTATGACTGCAGGTATTGCGGTCTATGCAAACATGACTCCTTGCAAAAAGGTGTCAGTTTTGTTGCCAGATAGAAGGGTAAAGAACCAATTATCATATTTTTACTGGCAAATGAGGTCCCCATAGAGGAGGCGTCTTCTTGGTTCTTTCGGTAAAGTCACGTAGAAGGGAAATAATAAAATAATACAAATAAAACATAATAAAATACAATTATATTTTATTATGTTTTATGCAAAAAAACACACTATGATAATATTTGCATTGTCCTTGAAACTGATTGGTCCACACCAAGGGACGGCTTTCTTTTGAGCCTCGACAAGGACAATGCATATATTATCAGTGTGTTTTTGTTTGCATTTGACTGCAAGTATTGTGGTTAATGCAGACATGAATCCTTGTAAAAAGGTTTCAGTTTTATTGCCAGAAAAAAGGGAGAAAACCCTATTATTTTATTTTGGTACTGGCAAAAGAGGTCTAATGATGAAATACACAAAGTCACCAGCAAACAAATGAAAATAAACGCTACAAATGCACGCGCTGTGGCGCTAAAAGCACCGCGCACAACACGAAATAAAAGTCACGTGGTTGTGGTGGTCATCGCGCCACGCCAAGCGATGTCGCATCCACCACGAAGCACAGCAAATAACACGCTAATTAGTAACTGCGAGGCACGTATGGGCACTGCCATTTCAGACTCTGCCAATACAACCGATGTCGAATTAATAATTAACATTGCACCTTTGTTCACTGCTGGACGCAGCCCAAGAGGCAATCCGAATCTGGTGGGATTTCAATGACACACAAGCCCACAGTTGAACATGCATCTCAGACCGTATGGCCCACCAGATGGCCAATCCTGTGCACGGCAACCTTAAACCATCATTTGCGCTGTTATTTCAGAAACGTTTCAATCGAGCCGGGCGGCAACGCGGAGCACTCGGCTTCACGATTGGGTCGTGAGTTCAAATCCCGAGATGTTTCGTCAGCCCACCGAAGAAATGAGTAACCTCGTCGGGAAGTAGACATTGGTCGTCCAATGGATAGACAGCGGACTGACCCTTGACCTCAGCAACATCGACTTCTCGCCACGTTGCTTGCGGCCACCAATCGAGATGACCCCCCCATAAAAAGAGTGATTTACGTATTGCGTCGATGACTTATCAGGTCACCGTACTCGGGGTTCGTCCGTTGGGCAGAGTGCTCCAGAGGGCTTTCTTATGGGACTGACCCCATTAGCGAACGTTATGGGAAGCTGCGCCCTCATTGGCCGAGCGGGCCACGTCGTGACGTCACACCGTTCAGAATCAGAATCTTGTATTGACACTGCAGGAGGAAATCCGATGAGCTATGAAGCTCTATTCCACAGACGTCCAGTCGGGACGTTACAACAACAAACAGTGCAAAAACACAAGGGTGCAAAGTACATGAAAGGTAAACAAATCATCCAAACACGTAGACATAAAACTAAACCACCCCCATCATACCGGGCAACGCTCCCAGAGGTTCATCTTCTTGGTTCTTTCGGTAAAGTCACGTAGAAGGGAAATAATAAAATAATAAAAATAAAACATAAAATAATTCTCACGACGTTTCGGCCACAACGCAAGCAGCCGTCCTCAGGTGAAGACCAGGTCTGTCGGGGAGACAGCGTCTGAATGAAACACCACCACGCTTGGAGCATATATTTAAGCTGGGTTGGAAGGGGAAGAGCGCCTTGACAAAATAATTTGCATATCAAGAGGAATTTAGCATATTTATGGGAAATGCAAATATGTGATTAGTACTACTTGTGAAATGCGTAGGAGGTGGGCGGGGGATTTTCAAAGTCATATTATGCCCGTGCATTATGCAGGATTAACTTATTTTTCAGAAGCGACCTGGCAATCACAGATGATAGCTCAGCACAGTGGCCCATCATTTGGACAATTATAGCAGCAAAACAATCGAAGTGGTTCAGTAGGAGCCAAAGTCCCACCTCGTAGCAGCGCCACGCTATCTGAGAGCCATGTTCAAACCCAGGATGTCAATGGGACCGGCTCGGTGGCTGTGACTGACACGTTATGAATGTCTTAGATCCTCACTTAATTAGGGCCCGTTTGGAATCCCTGGTCTCTGTCACAGGAATGTGAATTGTCCACCACTGGCCCAGGACAAACAAACAGGCAACAGAGCTAAGCCCTGCCCAATGCTTGCTTGAGTAGGGAGAATTTTTTTTAACTCACTTAATGGACTGGCTTGGCCCACGTTTTGATATTCACAGGGCCCATTGCCTAAGGATGCTGACCATAAGGCGCTAGGGCATGACAGCCACCATCGGATGTCCTGGGGCTTTGAGCACCAACTGAGCTCCTTTAAAATAAAATAAAACCAGCAGGGCGCCTGAACGTGGACTAAGGGGGTCACCGCAGCCTTGCACGCACGCGGACTCCGGTTGCTCAGCACGGACCTAATCAGAATTCACACTTCATCCTCGACTTTCCAACTCTGCGGGTAACACAAATAATTCAGGCTGCTTTTGCACGCGATGCACACTACTCACGGACCCGTCGGCTCATTCGCGTCCCTAACATGGCAGCTACAAAAACATCAAATTAAATAATTTTCACGACCAGGAACGCATCGGCTAGCGTACCGCGTTCCTGTAATCAGATTACCAACGGTAGCAGTAACACCGGATGATTGCTCTGTTTTCGAAATCGTGTTATACGTTGCATCAGCCGGTTTATTGCTCTCTGTGATCCGTGGTGGTTCAGAGGTCAGAGCATTGAGTCAGCGCTGCTGAGATCCTGGGTTTGTGCATGGGCTTGTCACCCACAATTAAACCAGGCCATCAAAAGTGATGAGTTTGTGGTCACGGCCTGGGTCAGCGACGACTGTACACCAATGATATCACGTAAAACGTAGGTTTGTTTGTTCTTTGCCCAGATAATATTATAATTCGTAATAGATGTTTGCGGTTAGGCCACGTGATCATCTAATTGCAAAATTCGGTTGTGAGGATTAATATGCAGCTTTACCGGTGAGCTGAACTAATAATACTAATAATTATTGGGGCGTTAAATGCTCGCACACGTGACAATAATTGTTTATTGGGCTGTGTCGGGTAGTGAAAGATTGCAGGTTTATTCAAACCACTACGCGGCCTAACTCAAAAAAAAATGATCGCGGATCACGTGAATAATTAAAACAAAAATCTGACACCGGGAGTCATAATGCACGTCTGACTCTCATACGAGGAACACCGATCTCACAGGAGAGTATATGGGGAAGTCTGCCGCCCTCCCCCCCCCCCCCCCCCCCATTGTGTCAAACTAAAAGACCACTTTTGAAGTTGTTCTTTTCAGCAGAAATGCTGTGACAATCTCGAGAACGGCTGTTCTCGAGAACGCAAGACTTTTCGAATGGATTATTGTCGGGACAACACACCCAGAGCACAGTTGCCTTGAGGAATATCTCACGAATAGAATTCAAGTTCAAAACCGCCGGGGGGGAGGGGTTAATCATTATTATTATAGAAACACATTATCACACGTGCTGCTTGGGATAATAAAAGCGTACAAGAGCAGTCGTGTGCATACAGATCATGGATCTAGACCTGCCAATACAGCAGCATACTTGAATCTCAGAGGCTGTATCAGCCTGGACGCAAGATAATCATTCAAGGGGCATGACCGCAAACAGCATCAAGTGAGGCAGATTACATTACTTTCAGCATTCCGGCAATGTTGGAATTAGATTACTCCACATTATTTCTGCAACCTCGCGTAATTAAGCGATCAAGCTGGATTACCTTTTAATGAAAGTAACCCTCTCAACAACCAACACCAACCGCTCAAGCCTCCTGTTCGGGTCAGTGGCCCAGTAACGACATTATCAGCTCAGGATCGGTCAGGAGGGGGGCCCCAAAATTGGATTTGTCTCCCACGCTCGCACACAAGCTATTCGACATCGCGGCTGCTCTAGCCTCATCGCGTCAATGCGTTTAATCCGAGTTTTTCAATCTCTTGATATGCAAATTATTTTGTCAAGGCGCCCTTCCCCCCCTCCATCCCAGCTTAAATAGTCGCTCCAAGCCTGGAGTGTGTCATTCAGACTCTGTCTATTCGACAGACCTGCTCTCCACCTGAGGACGGCTGCTTGCGTTGTGGCCGAAACGTCGTGAGAATTATTTTATTATGTTTTATTTTTATTCTTTTATTATTTCCATTCTACGTGACTTAACACTGTTGTTCAAAACACATCTCGTGGTGCTTGTCAATGGAGCCACAACTACCAACCCCCCCTCCCCGCTCCTGTCTATTTTAAAGACAATTTCAGATCTTTTCAGAGATGTTCAGAACATTG